AATCCCACTGTGAACCCCACTGTGAACCCCACTGTGAATCCCACTGTGAATCCCACTGTGAACCCCACTGTGAACCCCACTGTGAATCCCACTGTGAACCCCCTGGGAATCCCCCTGGGAGGACCCAGCCTGTCCATCCTGGGCTGCACCCGTGCAGCATCGCTGCCTTGAGCAGTTATCCTGATCGCCTCCTCTTTGGGGCAGGTGTGGCAGGGAAATGGGGCTGGAATGCCGTTTCCTGGGCTGGGGGGTGATTCCAGCCTGGGGAGTGCCGCTGCCTGTGCAGAGGTGCTGCTGCTGGCTGCGCTGCCTTTTTGGGAGCAGAGCAGAGCAGAGGGAGGCTGAGGCCCATCTCTCCTCTCTCCAGTGTTCCTCTCTGGCTCCCTGAGTCACCATTTGCTGCTCTCCTCTTTAAACTAACGAGGAGACATTTTGCATCCGCGTTTCCTCACGGGCGAAATGTGGCCCTGGCACCACGGAGCTGGGCTGGCAGCTCCTCCCTGGCTGCTGCTGCTGCTCCGGGTGCAGCCCCGCTGCCTCACCTCCCTGCCTTCAGTCAGGGATGAAGCACGGGCCAAGCCACAGCCAGCCAGAGCCCCTCTCCCTCCTAGCTGTCTGTTATAAACGAGAATTTATTCAGCCAGATTAAAAATAATAAATAATTTTATTAGCGGTCAAATTCTATCTAGCCAGCCACGGAAAAAGACAGAGCCAAGCCTGGGAATCGACCCTGGGTGTGCAACAAGGAGTCAGCCTCAGGAGAGGTTTTCCCTATGCCCACACACCTCCATCCTGGCACAAGTGGATTTTTATAGGGAAAATTCCGCCTGAGGCCAAGATTTCAGCAATCAGTCTTTTCTTCTATTCAGAGTCCATAGGTTAATAAGATTTTCTTTTTTGGTGATGAGGAGGGATAATTCAGTGTCCAGAGTAGGTGAATCCCTGATGGGATTTAGGGGAAGGCTGCATTCACATGGATCTGTCTGAGGATTTCCATGAGATCCATCTTGGGACGTTTATGGGATGATCAGCACTCGATGATCAACACCTGGAGTCCCGATGGTCAACACCTGGAGTCCCAATGATCAACACCTGGAGTCCCAACGGTCAACACATGGAGTCCCAATAGTCAACACCTGGAGTCTCGATGGTCAACACCTGGAGTCCAGCCATGGCCCATCCCCATCTCCTGGCCAAGCCACATCCTTTTACTTTTGACTCAGTTTCCAATACACACCCAGTCTCGTCTGCAAAGGGGGGAGGAACTAATACAAATGGGTATAATCTAACGAGTATCCAATATTACATATTTCATACAAGGACTGGCAAGAATTATATTTACTACACGTAACACTGTCCGTCCAGAGAGGCAAACAGGGAATAACCAGCGCCAAGGGGAAGCTGTTTGGATCTGGAAGCCTTCCCAGAGGAAAAGGGCACTCCAGTTGTCCACTGTATTATTTACCCAATCCCCTTTGTGCCGCAGAAAAGATTTACTCTGAGAAGATTAATGGCTCAAGGGGCTGTGAGAAAAATCCTCCGAGATTGCCTGCTTCAGGGGAGGAGGCAAACACCTCCTGGGCAAGGCCAGGCAGCACAGGGAGCACAGGGAAAGGCCTGGGAGGGTGGCCTTGTCCATGGGACACGCTCTGATGGGACAGTGACTCACCCTGGGGACAGTAGGACCCTCTCATCGGGCCAGTGGCAGGAGGAAGGAGACACGGTGGCCTCTCCCTGGGGTGCCCCCAGCTTTCCTGTGCCACAGCTCCAGGGCTCAACATCCAAAACAAACGAGCGTGGAGGCTTGGAGAGCCTCTGACAGCCCCTCTACTCCAGCTCGGAGAGGGCACACCTCCTGTGCATCCTGTCACTGCTTTGTGCCTGTCTTCTGCTCCTGCTCCATCCTGGAGCAGCACGGCGCTGGGCTGCTCCCAGCTGAGACCCAGATGTCACACCCAGGGCAAATTTGGGTGCTGGGCCGTGCCCTGCCTTGCCCCTCAGTGCCCCCTCAGTGTGCCCAGCCCTGGCTGGGTGTGGGGCCGTGCAGGGGCGGGCACACGTGGGTGTCACAGGCCGTGCAGAATAATGCCATTAATGCCATCTGGTGCCGAGACAGAGCTCCCGTGCGGGAGCCAGACACGGCTTTTCACTCCCCTAATCCCCAGCCCCAGCCACGGGGGCTCTGTCTGCGGGGCTCACGGGGAGGGAAGGGCACGGCTCAGCCCTGGCATGCTCGGGAGCGGGGAAGGAGGGGAGCCCTGGGGCTCAGGGGTGCGGGACCTGGCTGACGATGGGCTCCCTTCACACCCTGCTGCTTTCCTGCCTGCTGGGACCTCCAGCTCCTGCTTTAGGGGCACAGAGCCCCAGCACACTCAGTGAGGCGTGGGCAGGGCACTTCTGGTGTGGCCAGACCCTTCCGTGCTGTTAAACAGGCCCTTTCCATAGAACTTCAGCATCATTTAGTTGCAAAAACACCTCTAAGACCAATCGAGCTTAACCATTAACCATTTTCTTCCTTGGCTGAAGGACTCCTGTTCCTGCTTGAGCTGTGCAAAGCTGCAATGAGTCTTTATTAGTGGGTCACTGTCAAGTCAAAATTATATTCCAAAATAATCTCCTTACTGTGTTAAATAAGCACCTCAGATTAGACAAATTGCACGGATTTTGCCTAATAACCTTCCTCCAGCTAATCCTATTTTTTGTCAATGTCTGACCTCGATTGAAGCCCACACGAGCCCAGGGGGGTTGGTTTCTCCATCCCATGGCTGTGCTGGGATGGTCGGGGTCACCGAAGGCAGCCCCTTGCACACCTGAACAACCACAGGGGCTTCAGGTGAGGGGAGGGAACGCCCTGAGCTGGGGTTTCTCATCCAAACCATTCCCTGGTCCAGCCACCCGCAGAATGCCGAGGCTGGGAGTGAGCGAGCTCCCCACTGCATCCCCCCCTGAAGCCCTTCCTGAACCTTCTCTGTTTGTTTGGGGTGCCCCGAGGTCCCGCTTGGCTCCGGGCTGGGGACAGTGGGACAGTGGGGACAGTGGGACAGTGGGGACAGGCACCCTGTGCCCTCCCGTCACTAGGTGTCTGTGTCGGGCCAGCTCTGCGCACAGAGGGAACCTCCTCCTCCTCCTCACTCACCGCCCAATTGCGGGAGACTTTCGCTCTGCTTTTTTTCCCCCTTTTTTAATTTTTTTTTTTTTTGAAGAGGCGTTCCTGGCTGAATCCGAAGCCGAGCGAGGCTGAGAGCTCACGCAGAGCTCCGTGCTCCATCCGAGCCCCGTTCCTGACCGAGCAGGATCGTGCTCTGGGTTGACCTTGGCTGGACACCAGCTGCCCACCGAGCTGCTCCACCACTCCCCTCCCCAGCAGGGCAGGGTGGGATTAAAAAGAGGGAAAATCCCCCAAACGCGTGGGTCAAGATAAAGGCAGTTTATAAAGTGAAACCAGAAGGAGCGTGAGCTCAAGGAAAGAGAAAATAAAGAAATCCAGAAGGCTGAAATTCTCCACTTGCCGTCTGCAGGTGTTTCCCAGCACGTTGCCGGGAAGTCAGGATTGTTCTGTAAGGCAGAATGTAGCTCACGAACA